GAGGGACATCATGCTTGGGAGGGTGGAGGGACAGCGCAGGAGAGGAAGGCCCTCTATGAGGTGGATTGATTCAGTGACTGGGATAATTCGGTTGGGAGTGTCAGAGACAGTGTGATTGGCACACGACAGAGCAGAGTTTAGGGCTGTTGTACATAGGGTCGCTATGAGTCGCAGGCGACTCGACGGCACATAACAACAACAACAACTGTTGTACTCAGGTTCAGAGTCTGGCTCCGCCCACTCACCTCCCGTGGAATGCGACCATGGTACCAGGCGTGGCTGCGCAGGTCTGTGCTGCTGAGTTTAAGTTCCTCCTCCAACTCCTTGTGCAGTTTCTCTGGTGATGAGTCCAAAATGTACTTCTCCTTGGAGAACTGGGAGGGAGACAGCAAGAATTGACATCCAATCAGAAGCCTCATTCTTTTCCTTTCTTGACTTTACACCCTCATGACCTTGCCGTCTCAGAACTCTGAGAACATGGAGGCGAATGTTCCAGGGAGACCCTCAAAGAGCTTGCTGGAACCCTGTATTCCTGGCTCCCTAGACCAGCAGGAGCAAATTTTTAAACAACAACATAAAAACCCCTCAGTTCATTTCATCAAACAGTGCCCACTGTGTGCTATATCCTGCGCTGTGTTGGAGTAGACAAGCCAGACTCTAACCTCAAGAAATATCCCAGTCTAAGAGATGAAGAAAAAAAGCTGTTCTAAGCATTTGGTCAGACTGTCAGCACCACAGTACTGGACAGCGACAGAGACTTGTCAAGTTGCTGTAGAAGGAAAAGAAAGATATTTAGGAGTGGACAGATTGCAAAGGTTTCCTGGAGGAAGTGGTAACAACCCTCTCTATGTGGCAGGGACATCAGGACTTGCCACAAAGCTAATATTTAAAGTGGGGTCAGTGAGGATTTTTATAGGTGGACTTGGAGGCAAAACAGCAGGTACCTCAGGGAAAAGCATGGGCTGAATGGGTACAGACACATTCTGGGAAGACAAATTGTACAGTTAAGGTGAGGGAGAGCCTCTAGAAACAGGGTCACAGAGGTCCTCACACAGAGACAACTGTCATTTATGTTGTTCTTTTCAATTCCTCAAGTCCCTATCCCTTACCATCTCCTTGTCAGATGGGACAATTGAAGATAACCCAAGGCTCAATCCAAGCACTGGCCTAAGAGGGGATAGTCCTGGTTTCCCAGTTCTTCTGGTCTCAGAGTTAGAGGCTGACAAACACCAAGGGCCCTTAGGGCAGGGGCAGTGGGGAAGCTAGCCAAATTCTAGTTGTGCCAAATGAGATCTCTGGCCTCTGTTTCCTCCTACGCAATGAGTTGATGTGTCCTGCTGAATTTGCCTTTCAGTAAAGAGGAGAAACTACAGATTAAGAATCAATCTGCAAACTATAGCACCCACACAGCTGTGAGGAATCAGTAGTGCTCTATGACCACCAGCATAGTAGTGCCTGGATGAATCCAGGTTCAAATACTGCCTCACAGGCTAAGTGGCCTTGGGCAAACTGTTTTACCTCACTGAAATTCAGATTCCTTATTTGCACAAAGATCACAATGACAGAACCTGCACTACTACATTGCCAGGATGAAAGGACAGAGTTCCAGAATACTACATCTTGCATACAGATGTGAGAGCATGATATTCCTTCTCCTCCAGATCTCAGAGAGGTCTCAGCCTTGACTAAACCCCTGCAATGTACCTCTGAACAGAAAGATCCTGGGGATGATGAGGAAGCAAGCCAAACAGTGGAAGGTGGCAAAAAGGCCCAACTTCAGTCCAGATGGCAGTTTTCCCCAAGGACCCTACTTTCCAGAGCTCAAAGGTCCTCTGGTCAGCTCCCTGACTTCTCAGTTCTTCCATGCATCTCAGATTCTAATTCTGCAACTTTACTCTTCACTCCCCTGGTCTCAGCTTGCTTCAGTTTATTCTATGCTGTCCCCAAGACACCCTGATTCCTAGTTTCAGAGAGATCTAGAGTCTCCAACACCATTTATTCGGCAACATTGATTAAGATCCTCTCTGAGGCAAGTCCTCTACCAGAGGCTAGGACCCCAGGTTGACTAGGACAGGCATCTCCTGCTGTGAACCCATGTGCAGGAGAAGACTAGATGCTGACAAGCAACTCCAGGTTTCTGTAGTGTTCTAAGACACTCAGAGAATTAATTATAGGATCCTATGAAAACACCTTTCTTCCTTGTGCCCCTACACAGACAGGAGCTGGGGTCAGGCAGAATCTGCCTTACCCATTGAAAAGATGCTGGTGGAGGATTGATTTGGGCAAGCAAGACCATTGAAGCAGAGGGAAGGAGTGCAGGAAAGTTTGCAGAAATAAAGCAGCAAAGCTGGACCCTGTGGCCAGAGCTAAGGGCTGGTTGGAGGAAGGCAAATTATTTATTTCAAAGGGGCTTGAGAGGACTGGTGGAAACAGCATGTGTAGTAGAGCTTTGGAGCTGTCTGGGGGAGTTGGCATTTACCCAGTAGCTACAGTAGAGTTCTTTTTAAAAGATTCTTTTTAAGTGTTGGGGCTGAGTTTGATCTGTCATGTGGAGAGTGGTCTAGCATCTTCCAGGCAATGACAGGACAGGGTGTCATAGGATGACAGGAAGTAGGGAAAGTTTTTTATTGGATTGAGGCAAGAGGACTGAGGAGCCGGAGAGGATGCTGGGAGGACAATGAGACACTCTGAAGTGGGCAAGGCTGGGGCAAGAGCAGCAAGTGAGTGGCTCCAGGGAAATTTGGGCTGGGAGAAGCCTGCTGCATGGCTCCAAGAGCAGCTGTTACAGATGGGTGTGGATCAGCGCTCAGGGGAGAGGCTGGATTTAGGATCAGGGTTCTGAGCATCCTCTCTCTCTGTGGCTGAAAGTGGTGGAGAGGGGAGCAAAGAGGCCTTGGCTGGATTGAGAGTTAGGCCTTCTCAGATATTTACACTTCTCCAAGGGGTACCCTATTCTTGGGGGTCCCTGATCTCCCTCCTTATATACACTACACCATCTGGCCTCTCACACCCACACCAGACTTAGGGAAAGAGAAGGGGAACAGTCCCAGGGGGAAAGGGGACAATTGCTCTAGCTTCTGGATCCTTCTTTTTTGACAAAGAGAATGCACCAGAGAACTTCCACCGCCTCCACAGCCAGGGACAAGAAGGATACAGAGCAGAAAAGGCCATAGGGCAAAGAAGGGGTAGGAATGGGGTGGAAAAGAGCTTGGTCCAAGACTGCCACAGTATAGGGGAGCTCTGGTGGCCTAGTGGCAAGGAACTGCAACTACAATCCCAGAGGCACACGGTTCGAATCCACCAGATGCTCTCCCGAGGAAGGAGGGACAATCTCCTCCTGTACCAGTCAGATCTGATTTGAAGGTACACTCACACAAAAATAATAAAATAAAATAAAAAAAAAGACTGCCAGTGTGACCTTGAGCCAGTCACTTCCCCTCTCTGACCTGCATAACCTCATCTGTTAGAAGGGAGGAGAGATCTTGGCTCTGTTCCAAGTCAAATCAATGGTCAGAGATAGTTTGTGGGCAGTAGGGACCACTTTGATTATGACACAGCCCAACGCATCTATCTTACGACTGGGAAGATGAGAAACCCCAGAACCCTTGTTTCCTCCTCCTCACTCAAGCCCGAGGGTCCCCAACTCCCAAGAGTGGGGCAGAGAGGGAGGGGGGGTTGGGGCGCTAATGCAGCATCCCTGCGCTCAGCGCATTGCTATTGGCCAGAGATGATCTCACTGCCTCCCAGCCTGCGCGCACCTGATTGGCGGGTGTAGGGATGCTGCGCTCAGCCGGCGGGGCCGTCTTTCAGGCGGGCTCGGAGCGTGTGTGTGAGCCCCGGGAGCACTGAGGTGATGCGCCCGGAGTCCCCCAGGGAGCTCAGGGGCGGGGGGGGGGGAAAGTACAGAAACCCCTGGTCAAAGTCTTAACCCCTTCCCATCCACCAGCTCACAGTAGCCCCTATCTCACCCTCTTGACATTCCAGTCCCAAGCAAAGCTATCCCCAGATGATACTCTGCAGAGAGGCGGGGTCCAGGTCCTCCCCTTCACCCCCCTTTCCGTTTAACCCTTTCACGGCCACGATACCGTTTCGCACTGCCAGGTCAGCTGGGTCGCGGGACCTGCGCCCCAGGCGTGCCCAGACCCACTGAGGGCTGGGAGTTGGAGGGTGCTGTGATCCTGGCTCTTACTCCTGTGGCACTCCTTAGCTCCCTGCTTCTCACTAAGCCTCAGACTCCAGCCCAACGACCCCTTACAATGGGGAGCCTGGTTGCCCGGGTCAGCTGCTGGGGCCAGAGTGCTCATGGAATGACCAGCAGGACGTCAGGGACCGCATCTCTGCGTCCCCTGTGCCCTTGACTGAGGCAGTACCAGAACTGCATCCCCTGCACCCCTGAGTCCCCGAGTAGCTGCTGGACCCTCTGCACGAGGAGCGTCAGGGCGCCCAGAGGTGAACCCGGAGCGACCCCGCCCCCTCCCTCAGCCCATCGCCCTACCCTGCTGGACCCTGCCAGACGCGGGAGACTGCGGCCCCCTGACCCTCGGCCCACGGCAGGGTGGCCAGGGGTCCTAGCCCAGCACGCCCGGTGGTGGCCGAGCCGCCCCCTCACCTGCACCTGCACGAAGGAGCCGCGGTAGAAGCAGCAGGCGGCGGCCGACAGGGCACTCCACAGGCTGCAACGCTCCGTCATGGTGGGGCCGGGGGCCGGGGGCCGGGCTGGTGCAGGGGGCGGGCGGCCGCGGGGCAGGGGCGCAGGACCGACCGGGCTGGGCACCGGCTGCGCGTGCCTCTTGGCGGCGCGATTACCTCATCGCCTTGTCGGGGGAGGAGCGGGGAGGCGGGGCGGGGAGACCCCACCCTCCAGCCGGCCAGGGGAGGGGAGGGGGCCATTGTTCCTCCCTCCACCCGCCCCGTTCCCCGCCCCTCGCCCCTCGCCCCCAGTGCCAAGGCGTCGCGGAGCCTGGAGAAGGACCTGCGAAAGGGATGGACACCCTGAGGAGTGGTGGGGTGCGGAAAGGACCCCGGCCCGGCGAGGGGGAGTGCTCTGCCACTCTTGCGCCTCTCACGGTCCAGGAATGGTCAGAGGCTTTGAATTAAATGACATCTAGAGCTGGGGGGAAAAAATCCTTGTATGCATTTAGCCAAATCCTTTGTGGCCTCCGGAAATCTACTAGAGCCCAAGATTCCTCATGTCTAATAGGGAATCAGGGACCCTCTGCTGGGAATCTGTAAATATTTGCTGGCTAAGGAGCACAAAAGGCCAATAAGTCCAGTGGTCAGGGAAGCCAACCTGCGATCAATTTTTGGCCTCTTCACTCACTAGCGCCCCGCCTCCAGCCCACCCGACCTCTCCCCTTGGGTCCAAATTTACTCATCTGGGAAACACACCTGGAAAAGGCAGCTAATACCTGGGCTGATCACGCAGAACTCTGACTACTGCATGGGCTGATGTCTGTAAATTACCAGGCATGAAGTAAAGGCTCAATGAGCGTGTGCTGTTATTTTCTAGCTTATTATTTTGCAATCTGGGTTTTTTTTTTCTTTAGGGGGAGAGGGTCTGAGAATCACAAGCCCTTCAATGCAAAGGGAGCTGGCCTGATTCTGCATCAGTCTGCTCCAAGTTCAAATTCTTTTCAAATACTGTGTGACCTCGAGCAGCTGAGTCTACCTTTCTGGGCCCCAGTTTTGGGTTTTCCTTTTCTTTTGTTACTATAAATACATCTGAAGCTCCAAGCATGATGCATGGAATTTTAGGGTCTTGGGATTTTAGAATCTTAGCCTTCAAAACAAAAGCCTCACTGCTGTTGAGTCAGAATCGACTCATACCTGATCCTCCAACAACTTTTCAGAGGCTATATATAAGTTGCATATGGAAGAGATTGCCCATCTTTCTCCCACAGAGTATTTGATGGATTCAAATACCTGCCTTTGGGTTGGCAATGCAGCTCCTCGCCCACTAGACCCTTAGAGCTCTCTAGAACCCTTGTCTTAGAATCAAATAATTCACATTATGATCTGAGAACCCTGGAATTCTGAATTCTTCAAAGATTAGTATATCATACTGTGAATGTACTTTTGGGAAAAGTATTGATTCCAATTGCTGTCTGAAGCGTAAAGCTAAAACCAACAACAATATCATCCTTTCAAGGACTATCAGTACCAGTGGTATTAGTTCTTTTATAATGTTTTTTAAAATGCTACATGCCTGGAGTCTTAAAAGCTTGCTAGCAGCCCTCTAAGTATAACTCTTGGTCTCTTGCCACCTGGAGCAAAGGAATAAGAAGAAAACCTCAAGAAAGCAATTGTCCAGATGACAAATGCCCCAAATGAACACAGTATTCTGTAGCCTGAGATCAGAAGAATTAACTGGTGCCCAGCTACCACTCACAACCATTCTGCTCAGGGACATGAATAAAGGTCCTAATTAATAGAATAAAAGTCAAATTTATACAAAAGACCAGACTTACTGGCCTGATAAAGATGGGGAAAATCCCAGAGACTATTGTTCCAAGTCACCCTCAAAACTACTACTCCAGAGGCCACCTCTGCCCAGTGGAGTAAACGGTAAAATCTACGAAGAATGTCTTCCTTAGATAAATCATCTATGCCAGGCCAAAGGGCACTATTACAAAAAAATAAAGATGAGAAAGAATGCAGGAAGGGGCAGAGAAATGAGGAGCCCAAGGTGACAAGAAAAGAGCTGACACATTGCTGAGATTGCAATATCATGGAACAACGTATGAATCATTGAATAGAAAATTAATTTTCTGTATAAACTTTCACCTATAAAGCACAGTAACATGTTTTGGGTTGGTGTTTTGTTTTGTTTTTAAGTTACAGTTTGGTAAACTCACAAATTTTATAGTTTGGTAAACCAAAAAAGAAAAACAAACCCCAAAAAACAACACACAAAACAAAAACATAAAGCTGATAGTCTTTATAGAGATCTCACTTCCGTTAGTGATGGGGAGCTCACTACCTTGCCCTGCAACTGAGATTTGTAGGGTATTGACATGCGCCCCCATGTGTTACTTTCCTTATCTTTGGTTTGGTTCTCCCTGAAGCTCCCCTCTCTCTGTAATATAAAGTCTCTGGATGAGGAACCAGGACCTGGATTCCAGGATCTGGATTCCTTCCTGACACGCTGCATTCTCAGGCTGCACTCCTTAGGCTCCCTTGGCTGGCTTGCTGCTTTTGTATACACTCCTACCTCTGTTTGAACCACTCTTTTGCTCATTCCTGAATATCCTTGACTCCTTGTCAGACTGACTTCACACAGGAAGAAGGTGCTATGAAGATTCCCAGTCAGCTACGAAGGCCTAACTTCAACATCTTCTCCTCCAGAAAGTCTTCCTTGATTTTCTCCCTCCTAAACTGAATGTTATTCTCTATCTCTGAACTTCCAATCTCCCAGGCTCCTTATCTGAGAAAGCATCTTTGAGCTCATTAGTAGTCACTATCTTATAGGCAGAACCTCAGGGTAATGGAACTCCAGGAGCTAAGCCAGTCTGCCTGTTCCTTCCAACCCCAGCTCCCTCGCTCATGGGCACAGGCAATTGAACCCACAGCAATCCTGGACTGGAGCTGCCCCTGTTATTTCCACTTCACATAAGTGACACAGAGAGGTGGTCACACAGCAAATACATGACAGATCTGGAGCTCTATTTGCAAAGCACAAGCCCATAACATCGTATGATTCTGCACTGGCTTCCCACGGCCCAGAGCTCCCTGCTAAGTATTGGGTCTGGTTCAGGGTGGGCATTGCTGGTAGTCGAAAGGTCTTGTACTTGGTCTTGGCATCAGATAAAATTGGCCTGCAGTCCCAGCTCTGGCCTTTATTATCTGTCACTGCCTTTTCTTTGAGTCTCGCATTTACAGTCAGTAAATGGGCTTAAGAAATCCTCAATGTCCATTGCTAACATTAGCAATGAAAGACTTCCCTCATGCAGAGCTGAAGACTGTCTCTCCAGCGCCCAGCAACCAGCAGGGGGCATGCATAGGGCTGTGATGTTTGTTGGGTGCCATTAGGTCTATTTTGCCTAATAGTGACCATAGAGGACAGAGTGGAACTGCCCTATAATTTCCAGGACTGTAATCTTTATAGGAACAGATTACTCTTTTCTCCCATGAAGCCACTGAAGGGTTCAAACCCCTGACCTTTTGGTTACCTGCCAAGTGTTTAACCATTGCATTGCCAGGGTTCCTTCTGCGCATAGTTGTTGGTATGTACCATGGAATTGGAACCAACCCATAGCTGACCCTGAAAAGGATTTTCAGAGGCAATAAATCACATGTGAGGAGATTGCCTATCTTTCTCCCATGAAGCAGCTGGTGGATTTGAACCATGTGGCTTTGAGTTGGTAGCACAATTCCTTATCACTAGGCCATCAGAGCGCCCTCTGCACATACCAGACACTCAAAATGTGACCAGATTATTGTTGTTATCAGTGTTATTTCAAAACCATTTTTTCAACATTCCCACTATCAAGGGAAAATGAAGCTGTCAATAAATGTAAACTCTGTTCATTATCTGCTGATGAGAAAGTGAGATAACCTGAGTCCCAGCACATGGTAGATGCTCAAAGATTGGATTTAATTTGGGGTCAAAGTCTCTGGATACAGATTCCCTGGGGTGGTGGTACAAGCATCCAGATGGCCAGGAGAGAATGAACACGCGAATTGGGAGAGGCATTCTGGGTAGAACCAAACCCCACATACTTCCCACACTGTGAGAGTCCCTCCTCCTGGGAACAGATAGTAAGGTCAGGCTCCTAACAAAGTTTTTTGGTTGTTTTTTTTTTTTAAAAAAAAAAAAAAAAAGACAACACAACCCAAAATCCTTGTTCAGTTTCTCTTACCTTCACGTAGTCTCCACCAGCCTCCGACTCCCCAATGGCCCTGGAAGGAAAGAGGAGACATGAGTATTCCTCACTCTGCCTGGTTCCCAGGCTGCTAACCTCTGCCCTCCTGCCTGTAGATAGCGCTGGTCCTCAAAGCCCAGAGAGCTGCCCCTAAAGGCAGGAAGGGTCACCAAAGTGTTTTGCAGTCTGCAGCACTGACAGCAAACCCGGGCCTTTATGCGCCAGCTGTGCAGCTCTCAGCAAGTCCCTTCACCTTTCTGAGTTCTGGTTTCCTCATCTGTCAGAGATGACTCCCATCTGGTTATTGTGAGGGCTCTGGCAGCTAGTGAACACGGTGCCTGCTTCCTGATTCACATTCTTCTCTTGGCTTCAGGGCTCCAGACCTCCAGGTTGTCCTCATCCTTCCTGGCTCTCCTCTCCCTAATGTTAAAGATGCTTGAGAGTTGCAAGCTCGGACTTGGCACTCCCCAAATACTGCTGAGTCACTGCAGGTTACGGAGGGCTAGAGACAGATTCCTTCAGAGGCTGATTCTTCTGGCCACCTCATCTGTCCTCCATCTATGTCACACACTGTGAGCCACCTCACTCTTTCCCTGGCCTCTAACCCCATTTACTCTGAGACAACCAGGGCCTGCTTGTATGGCCTCAGGCTCATAAATCCAATTACTTCCTTGATGGCTCCCCTTGGATGTTTGAAGATATTTCGAACTTGTCTCATTGAAAGCAAAATTGTTGATCTTTCTCACCCTATGTCCCTGCTCCCCTTGCCGTTTTCATCTCACTTGTCATCCTTCCCATTGCTCAGGTTAAAACCTTTCAGTTGCTCCCCTCTTTCTCTCATATTCCACATACAATCTACCAGGCAGCCACGCTGCTGTTTTCAATATAGCTCTCCATCACTTCTTTTCACGTGCAGCCCCACCCCTGGTCTGGACCATGTTATCTCTCCCAAGGAGCACACAGCAGCTTTCACACTGGCTTCCTTCCATCTGCTCCCACGTTCCACAGCCAACTTCCACGTCCCTGAAGACTGTTTAAGATTAAAACCTAAGCTGCTCACAGCATGCATGCCAACCTTTCAGGAGTTTCCATCCCTCCAAGAACAAAAGCTAAACATTCCATTACCTATAAATGTCTGACCAAGTAATTTTCCATCCAAACCAGAATTGTTCTTCTCAGGATATTGAGTTGTTGTCATGTATCATCAAGTCAGAACCAACTCACAGCTGACCCTCCGTATGTTTTCAGAGGCTATAAATTGCATAGGAGGAAATTGCCCATCATTCTCCCATAAAGCATCTGGTGGCTTTGAACTGAGTGCTTTTGGGTTGGCAGTGAAACTCCTTACTACTAAGCCACCAGAGCTCCCTGGATAGTGGTAGGGTGTCATTATTATAACATAGACATAAACCAGGTCATTGTGTTCCACAATCCTATAAGATCCTGTGTGATGTAGCACCTGACTATCTGACTCTCAACTCTGCAACGTATCCCTTCATTCCGCTTTAGTTATACACATAGCTTCCAAGATAAGTTCATTCCTACCACAGGTCCTTTGCACTTGCTATTCCATTGCCTGGCATGCTCTTCCCCCATATTGCCATGCATCTCACGACCTCTTCCCACTTTATTCAAGGCTCTAACTTCATCTCAGAGAAGTTTTCTCAGACTATTCTTTCTATATAAACCCCCTTTTCTTTCACTCCTTAACTCAAATCAGGTTTTATTTTTCTTACAGCTTTTACCTTTTCCTGAAATTACTACTCATATCTATCATTCATTATAGATTGATTACATCTCCACAAGACTTGTCTTATTCCACATCCATCCTCTTGTGCATAAAGGGACGTAGTAGGGACTATGCCTGGCACAGGGAGCTCTGATAGCCTAGTGACAAGGAGCTGCACTGCAATCCTGAAGGCACGAGGTTCAAGGCCACCAGCCACTCCATGGAATAAAGATGCGCAATCTCCTCTTGTCAGATTAACTGTCTCTGAAAACCTGCTGGAGAGGCAGCTATGAGTTCATTCTGATTCTATGATACAACAACAACAACATGCCTGGCACATAGTAGAGATTCAGTAAAGATTGCTTAAATGAATACATGAATAGTCAGCACTTAAGTTATATTAACTATTATCATTATCATTAATGCTGTCTCGGCTAGACCCCTATTCTCTTGCCAGGACAGGGTGCAATCTTCCCATCTGCAATATGTGGGAGGGGAAAACAACTATGAGATATCATCTCACCCAAGTAACAATAGCAAAATTCAACTGAGCAGCAAACAACAAATGCTGGTGAGGTTGTGGAAAAACTGGAACCCTTATTCACCATTGGTGGGAGTGTAAAAGGGTGCAGCCACTATAGAAGGCTGTATGGCACTTTCTCAAAAAGTTGGAAATAAAAATATCATTTTTTTTCTATATTTTATTAATTTTCATAAACATTTACAGAGATTTTGGGTTTCCATTCATTCCTTGTTGCACTATTCTCTCTACCCTCCTCCCAGTTTGTTCTTGTCCAAAGGAAATAAAAATATCATTTGACCCAGCAAGTCCACTACTGGGAATATACCCTAAAGAAACCATAACTGCCACCCAAGCAGATATATGCACACCCATGTTCATTGCGGCTTTGTTCACAACAGCAAAAAGTTGGAAACAATCCAAGTGCCCATCAACAAACGAATGGATAGAGAAGCTGTCGTATATTCACACAATGGAATATTATGCAGCACTGAAAAACAATGAACTAATTAAATATTATACAAAATGGGTGACCATGGAAGATATTATGCTGAGTAAAATATCTTAGTTGCCAAAAGACAAATATTGCAATACACTGTTATAAAACAGGACTGACATGGGGGTTGGGGAAAACTAAGAAAAGAATAAATAAATAATGTACATGACATTAAAACAGATGAGGGAGAGAACTATATAAAAGGAATTTATGATTAGGTATTACTGGCATGACAAGACCCCAGAATAAGTGCTGCATAGTAAAGTGGTCTGGGGCTGGGGGGACTGTACAACAACGAAATAACTTCCCCCCCCCCATAAAAAGCAAATTCTGGGTGAGGGGGACAGGGAAGAAAATGAAAAAAGAAAAAATGTTTGAGGGGGTGCAAACATTGGGAAGTTGCTTCTTCAGAAACAGAAATCCAATACTTAAGGGAAAAGAAGGCTAGCCTAAAGGAAATCATGAAAAAAGTGAATTTTCCTAGGGAAGATTTCTGCCCTGGGATTCCCTTTAACTCCTGAGTCCGGAGACTCCTCATTGAGAAGCTAGCTAGTGGTTTTCCCTGTTTTGACATTCTAAGGTCATTGCTGCTAACCTTCCCTCCTGGAAACTCCTTCCTGACTTCTAACCACAGTCTCTCAAGCTGCAGCTTAGTTGGAGTAGGCTTCCAAAGCCATTCTGGTTCTTTCCATTCAAGAACAGTGGGTATAGGGTGGAGTAAGGACCCCCTCCCCCTGCCCATTTCCACCCACTCTTCCCGGGTGAAGTGTCCCATCCCAGTGTTTCCGGCAATTTAGGTCCGGAAATCCTCTCACTGCTGGGAACAGATTGGCCAGGACACTGGGATTGCCTCAGTACTTCCTCTGCTTCCTGTCCACTTCCCTTCAGGCTCCCAGGGCAGGAGTAGAGCCTTGGGGAGGGGTTGGTTGTATCAGGAATCAGACCAGGGAAGGATGACCAAAAAAGGTGCTCAGCAAAGAGGCTCTGAAAGCGGGGTGTCTGGGGCCTCACCCAACAACCCTCTGGGGTTTCCAAAATATATGTGACCATGTCCACTTTGCAAGCCACTACCATCAGTCATCTGGACTATTGCCATGACCTCCTTCACTGGCCTCCCTGCCTCTCACTGTGTTCTTGTAACTTGTTTTCTCCCCAGCAGTCAAAACAGTTCTATTAAAATGAAAAGCAGATCAGATCCTTCTTTAGGTCAAAACCACTGAGATAGCACCTCGTTTCACTCAGAATCAAAGCTCTCATCACAACCTCATACAGACCAACCCTGTGTCCAACACCTTCCTGATCACTCAAGTCAAGATGAGATTCATGATGGACTTACTTTCTTCTCACCTCAATTCCTTTGTGCTTTCTGTTCCTTCTGCCTCTAGATATTCCTCTAGATATTCCTCACCTTCAAGGTCCTCACTAAAATGTCCCCATTGAGACATTCCTTAATCACACCAAGAGTACACCTTCTCAACATTGATCTCACTTTCCGATTTTATTTTTTACCTTGGCACCTCATCCAACACGCCACAGATTTTAGCTCAAATATTAAGAATCTCCTTTTACTATAACATCAGCTCTACATGTGGAGGCTTTGGTCTAGAACAATGTTAGGTTGTTGTTGTTATTGTTATTGTTAAGTGCTGTCGAATCATAAACAATTCATAGTGACTCTATGAATGAAAGACCTGGACACTTGTATGACTTTCATCCTTTCTCCAGGTTCATAGGGTTTCCGGAGACAAGCTATTTAGGAAGTGGATGTGCCACTCCTGCTGCCAAGCTTGTCTTAATTGAGGAACTCCACCAAACCCTGTCCACCATGGGTAACCATTATCATATTTGACAATGTCACAGTGTTCAGCATCACAGCAACCACTACCTCTATACAACCAGTTACCTCTATACAGCAAATGGACAGACCAGTGATATGACCCTTGGAAGAATGTTTGACCAAAAACAATTAAAACCAGGCTTGAGGGCCACAGATTAAAATCACCCACCTTTGGCTTGGTAGCATCACTTTCTGTCCACTAGGCCAACGGAGCTCTATGTTGTTGTTAAGTGCTGTCGAGTCATAGATGACTCATAGTGACCCTATGAAAGAAAGATCTAAACACTTGTATTAACTGTCATCATTTCTCCAAGTTCATAGGGTTTCCTCTGTGGATGCCACTCCTGATTCCAATGCTAAATGTACAGTGTTCTTGCTGTCAACTCCCTTGGAGTCCGCCCCTAACTCATACTTCAAGGCCAGTTTCCTATAAGCTTTCTTCAACTCTTCCTGGG